GTGGTATCCGTGAGGATGCTCAGGGCAGACCACCTCAGCAACGAGTGAAAGGACAGCTTACTACATGCACAGCAGGAAGATCCGGACATCAAGCCGATTCTGGAATGGATAAAGGCCAGTGCTCCCAAGCTCAAGTGGAGTAACGTCTCAGCGATGAGTTCGACCACTAAAAGCTATTGGGCCCAGTGGAACAGCTTGCTGCTTCAGGATGGAGTTCTGTGTCGTAAATAGGAAAATGTTCGGGGAGACAGCTGTCATTTGCAAATGGTTGTCCCTAAAGCTAAAGTACCGGATGTTCTACAGCTGTACCATAATGATTGTTCAGGAGGCCATCTGGGAGTTAAACGAACTCTACTAAAGATCCGAGAACGGTTTTACTGGGTTCACTGTCGAAACGATGTCGAGGACTGGTGTCGCAAATGTACAAGTTGTGCGGCTGTAAAGGGACCTCAGACTCGTAATAGAGGTGCATTGAAGTTGTACAATGTTGGTGCACCATGGGAGAGAATAGCCATTGACGTGGCGGGGCCGTTTCCGGAGAGTTAAAGCGGTAACAAGTATTTCATGGTTGTGATGGATTACTTCACTAAGTGGCCAGAAGTCTTCGCCATTCCAAATCAAGAAGCTTCAACAGTTGCGGATAAGCTAGTTCATGAAGTCTTCTGTCGTTTTGGAGTACCTTTAGAGATTCACAGCGATCAAGGAAGGAATTTTGATTCTCAAATATTCCAGGAAACTTGCCGAGTTATGGGTACTCACTACCTGATCCAATTCATTGAAATAATTTACAGAAGGAGGTGCATAAAATGCTCCTAGTAAGAAAGGTGTGTATACCATTATATCAATGAGAATGTATTCCATTGATTTAGAATAAACCTCGGGCGATCTGGAAACGATCGAATATGGGATGTCTGACCGCATGTATATGGCAACACCTCCGCCACCCTTGTTTAACCTGTCATTCCTTATGAGATGATAGCCCGGAAGTCTAAACAAAGTGGATAGTAAGGTAGGTTTAAGAAATGATTCTGATATGAGACAGGCATGAATAAGACTGTTTTCGAAAGTTGCAAGAAGAACGGAAAAGTGAACTGGAATACTTTGTGGATTAATATGACATATATTCAAATTCCTTCGGTAAGGCTCAAGGGCATTATATATATATATATATATATATATATATATATATATATATATATATATATATATATATATATATATATACATATATATATATATATCCAGGCGGTCCCATAATGAACTGGCCTGATATAGTTCAACGCGACATGTCGCTATATGCTGTGTTGCATTAAATAGTACGTTTATCGTGCACTTAATATAAGAAACATGCATCGACATGAAATGCTTAGTCTTAGTTTAACAGGCATTTGAATAACGAGAGTCGCGTATTTTTTTCAAAATGTCGAAAACTGAGTATCGAAGTGTCATAAAGTTTCTGTTTAAAGAAGGTTTATCCCCTGCCCAAATAAAAGAACGATTGGATGGCGTGTATAAGGAGTCTGCCCCCTCCTATAGCACAGTGAAAAATTGGGTGAAAGAGTTTCGCCTCGGGAGAGAAACCGTCGAAGACTTTGGCCACGACGGTCGACCTGTGGAAGTGCTCACTCCCGAAACGATTGCTCTTATCGAAGAGGAGGTTCTGAGTGACCGCCGTTTGAAGATTAGAGAAATTGCAGCAAGGCTTGGGCTCTCTAAGAGTACCGTTCATCGCGCGATCCATGAACATCTTCACATGAAAAAAGTGAGTGCAAGATGGGTACCGAAACTTCTTTCAGCGGTACAGAGACAGGAAAGAGTGCGCTGCGCTTCGGAGTTTTTGGATCTTTGTGGCGAAAATCCAAAGACTGTGATCGAGCGGCTAGTGACTGATGATGAAACTATGATCTTGTATTATGATCCACAAAGCAAGCGCGAGTCAATGAAATTGCGTTATAAGGGTGAAAAGCCCCCTAGAAAGGCAAAGGTGCAACAATCGACTAAAAAACTGAAGTGCACAATATTTTGGGATTTTCAAGGCATTTTGATGGTGGATTTTAAAGAACGTAATACAGTCGTGAACTGCGAATATTATGCTTCTTTAATATATAAATTACGAGACAAGATAAAGGAAAAACGAAGAGGCAAGCTGTCTAAAGGTGTCCTGTTGCTCCATGACAACACCCCTGTTCATACCGCTGGTGTTTCGAAGGATGCAGTTCGTCAATGCGGGTTCACAGAAGTTCAACATCCACCTTAAAGTCCAGACATAGCCCCATCCGACTATTATTTATTTCCAAATTTAAAGCGGGACTTAAAAGGAAGAAAATTTTCAAGCGATGAAGAGTTGCAGGCGGCCGTCTTCAGTCATTTTGAGGATAAAAAATGTGATTATTTTTATAAAGGTTTAGAGATGTTGATTCACAGATGTCAGAAGTGTGTTAGTATTCATGGTGATTATATTGAAAAATAAAATTGGTTTCGTTTCATTTCCTTCCTTGGTTCACAGTTAGGCCAATTCATTATGGGACCGCCTACGTATATATATATATATATATATATATATATATATATATATGATCTCTCTACGGTAAATGTTGATCAGACGCGACTTCACGCGAGCACTTTGTTGATCCGAAAACGCATGTTGATCCGGCGCCTTTTGTTGATCCAATATGCATCTCTGGTAACTAATGTGGCTCCGACCGGATCAACATCTGCACTCACGAGACTGTTTGCTAGCGTTTGCCGAAGTTGATCCGATATACAAATCCACCTTGCGATGGTTACGGAAAATGTTGATCCGATTTAAATGAGCCAATCAGAGCACAGAAAATGATAAGATAAACGATCGGATTGGCTGAAAGCAGCCGCGACGTTGCCGTTTCGTATCCTTTGGCTACAAGCTACAGATTAAATGCGTGTTCAATACAATAATGCATTCATCTACCACCGCACCCCTCTCTAAGCCTTCGTTCTCCACCTCCGCTACCTCCGCCTCCACCATAAACTCTGCTCCCTCCGCCTCCGTTTTCTGCGCACATACACACAAAAACACGCACTCTGACGAACACACACGCACGCACACACGCACACCTACATACACACACACACACACACACATACAAACACACGCGCGCGCACACACACGCACACACACACACACACACACACACACACACACACACACACACACGAACAACAGTTAACACACGCACGCACAAACACACACACACACGTGCGCGCGCGCGCGCACACACAATCACATACACACACACATCACATACACTCACTCACACACACACACACACACACACACACACACACGCACGCAACACACACGCATACACACACACGCACACACAAAACACGCACACACATTCGCATGCATGCATCGGCACACACTCGACCGCACACACAAAAGCAAACACACGCTAAACCGCACACACACACACACACACACACACACACACACACACACACACACACACACACACTCACACACACACACTACACTCACACACACACACACTCACACACACACAACGCACGCACGCGCACGCACAACCACTCACATACACCACACACACACACACACACACACACACACACACACAAACACAAGCACACAACCGCACAAACACACGCACACTGCTGCACACACACGTACTCAAAAAAACGCAACAGTGCACACACGCACACATACACTCACATACACGCGCACGCACATGCGTTCACACGAACACACATGAACGCACATACACCCACATGCACACGCACATACAAACTCGCTTAAAAACACACACACGTAAACACACGCACGCGCAATAATAGGCACCCCCCCCCCCTTACACATACACACATACTCGAGTGATAAATTAATTTGTAATAAAGTACCTATCCATCATCTTCTAATTGATCTATGACAAATGAACAAAATAACAAATTCACTCACACGATAACAAAAACTCGAACAAACGTCTTTCCACAATAAAACCTGCCAAAGTTTGATCCACAAAATCAGCAGATAACGCATTTTCTTACCTTATTACTATAACGAAGTAGCCTACTGGGTTCTCTGTCACACACAGAACGCGACGTTGCCGCTTCGTGTTCGAGTACCTATTCGTCAATTATGGCTCCGGATCCACTTAGTCTAAGTAAATGTCGCATATAAATTAAATATCTAAAAAATCATATTACAAATGTTTAGTGAAAAAAAAGTAAAAAAAAAATAAGTGAACAATTATGTTGCTATACCGTGGGTTCAGCAAAAATAAAATTGTTATTAACTTGCCACAACTATTACCAGTTAGGACATTACAACCATATCAGGAGGTAGTACAATTTATTATAATTTGATACAGAAAAGTGAAAACAGTAAGTACAAGTATGCTGCTTAAAAAAATACTCTAAAGAAAAAACTGTAACACTTTTAAATTCTTACGGTGGCAACACTGCATATGAAGATCGCATTACCACATAGTAAAAACAGAACTTCTGATCTGTTTTTACTATGATATTTTAATTATTTGACGTTGTCATTTCATGTTGACATTACAAACAAAAATAAAAATTTTGAAGGTTGCAAAAAGTTTCAATTCAATATTCTATGTGGTTTGTTTCAAGTTAAATTATATAAAGCAGGTAGTTTGGGATAATAAGTCCTTCAACTACCAATGATAAAAGTTGTAAGTATTTGTAAGTAATGATAGTTAATATAATTATGTCCTACAAACAAAAGAAATGAATAATTGCATAAACTCCAATAGCGGTAAGGTAAATATCATTTTAAGTAAAATATGCAATTAACTACAGTAGTAAGATTCTTAATAGTAGAGAAAAAGAAAAAATTAATATATAAAGAGACTAATTTTACAACTTTTTTCCAGGTTTAGACCGTTGTTTGGAAGCCAAAGCTTTGGAAGTTTCTGAACTACTCACAGGATATTCAGCCAGTTGGTCTAGAGAAACAAGACGTACCTTGCTTCCATTACAGAGCTTTAGATATAATATGTTACCATCTTGTGTCCAACACATGTGCATACCATGTAGGCGTCGAGCTTCCTTGAAACTTCTCTTCTATGAGGAGTAAGAAATTCAGCAAGAGAAATATTACTTTCTTTCAAAGAAAGCTTAGCATGCCAGATTTCCTGACGAATGGTATAATCTGTAAACTTTATCGGCAGTGCATGAGGATTTGCTGTTGTGTTTTTTCCCAACCGATAACATGAATGAATCTGAGTTGATCTAAATGTATGTATTTTTAATTTTGATGTCACCAGATTTACTACAGTGTCAATGCAGTTTTCTGTATCAGACTCTTCAATGCCTCGGATTAAAAGAAATTTACGATTGCTCCTGTTGTCAATGTCGTCAGTCAATAGTGGAAGGGACTGAACTTGCTTTTTTAAGATCTCCAGCGCAGTCTTCATAGTCTCTTTGAACATGATAAAATCATTGGTGAGAGAAGTGATATTAGGTTTAGAACTTTCCAACCGGGCTTGAAAAGAAGATATGCACTCTTCAAACATTTTTTCAAGTGTTTTGACAGCATCTTCCGGTTTAGTTTTTTCAAGATTTCTTCTTCCGGCCACAGTGCAGTTTTGAAGTGTAGTACGGAATTATTAGGGATATTAGTCAAGATTTAAGATGAATAAGATTTAATGGATTTTATTAGAAAATATACCTAAAACTTGTAAGTTTTACTATTTTAATTATTTATCAAAACAAGACCCAAAAAATATTTTGTCACTGTTTGTGCACCTACCCGCGAAAAAAAGTATAATATATAAAATATAATATAATATAGTTTCAATCATTGGTACAATCGGTTATGTCATTCTGAAGATTAGCCTACTAGTAATATATAAGTCAATGACCTAAACAAACAAAAACACATACAGATTTTTTATGTGTCTTAATGACAAGCACATAACTCCCAACACTCTATAAAAGGCCTTAATTTACATAAACATACAATTCATCACAATACATAAACATTCACGCCTGTCACCCAGAGGGGTTGGCATAGACTACAGACTTCCATTTGGCACGACCCTGACACACCTCTCTCGCCTCCTCTACATCCGTATACTTACGCGCACATGCTCTTCGGTTAAGGGTACTCCTAATTTGGCCAATTATTAAATATCGCCAATTTGGTCGATAAGCTTTCGCCTACGACGTTCCTTTCCGGCTCTGTCTTTCGCTTCTGCAACATAAATTTGCTTTGTTACTCTTTCCTCATTCATTCTTTCCACATGACCGACCCACCGAAGCGTTCCTTTCTTAATCTTGATCACAAAATCGTCTTGCAAACCATACTCTTCTCTTATCACACATTTCTCACCCTGTCACTTAGATTCAGCCCTAACATACTTCTTAACGACCGCATTCCTACTGCGTTTATTCTACTCTCGTGTTTCTTCTGCCACACCCAACTTTCACAACCATACGTTTAAGTAGGGACCAACGCAGCATTGTGAATGTGAATGTGTGAATTGTGAAGTCCCAAGGAGGTGTCGGATTTAACGTCCACAATTCTCTCGTCAACAACGTTGTAAAGATTGGGAGTGTGTCGACGAGCGTCGCGTACCTGATACTCAGAATCACCAAACGGTATTCGCTGAAGGTCATACAGGTTTACGCACCAACCTCGGCATATCCCGATGAGGAGGTGGAGGAAATGTATGAGGATATTTCTAGAGCCATGCATTCCTCCAAAACCCACTACAAGGTGTTGATGGGAGACTTCAAAACTAGACACAAGAGAAAACGGTGAGCTGAAGTCAGGGAAATTTGGAGAAGAACCATTGGGAGGGCGACCATCTGTCCCGAGAAGGTGTAGAATTTATCGTCTATAAGTCTTTCGTCAACAAAATTGCAAAGATTGAGATTGTGTCGACAAGGGTCGCGTACCTGATACTCAAAATCACCAAACGGTATTCGATGAAGGTCGTACAGATTTACGCATCAATTTAGGCGCATCCCGGTGAGGAGGTGGAGCAAATATATGGGGATATCTCTAGAACCATGCATTCCTCCAAAACCCACTATACGGTGTTGATGGGAGACTTCAACGCAAAACTGGGCACAAGAGAAAGCGGTGAGCTGAAGTAAGGGAAATTTGGAATGGGCAAAGGAACCCTAGAGGCCAGCAGCTGGCCGACTTTATGGAGAAAAAGGGACTCTTTATGATGAACTCTTTCTTCTAGAAGCGTCCAAACAGGAAGTAGACCTGGTCGAGTCCCGACGGTTCGACAAAAAATGAGATTAGAGTTTAACAGTGGTAGAGCCACGCGGCAGCTTTGCTGTCGCACGTATGGGCCGGCTCAAACCGGGGTGGTACCACGACCTCACAGAATACCGGCGTGAAGTGGAAGCTCTGCTTCCGCGTTTCGTCTGGTGAGTGCAGGTGGCCGGAGGCCCAAATCCCCCCCCCCCCATCAACATGGTAGCGGAATTAAATGATAGACTACCCCAGGAGGGTACCAGCACCCCTGGAGAATCCCTCGCTGAGCATCCACGACCATGTTTCTCCACTTCTGAGCGTGGGTGCTCAGGCTGCCCCGCGTATTCTGGGGGGGGCAATATTCCGCTCAAGACTAAAACTGCTCGGGGCAAACGGAGCAACAAGACCAAGGCGACCCCTGCCACGCTGTCCGTGAATTTCTGCAATATCAGGGGACTTCACTCTAACCTAAACGCCGTCCACTACCATCTCGAGACGGCGAGGCCGGCTCTGCTCTTTCTGACCGAGACGCAGGTGTCCTCTCCGGCTGATGTCTCGTATCTCTCCTACCCGGGGTACAAACTGGAACACTCCTTTGTGCCTCGGGCTGGAGTTTGCGTTTACGTCAGAGAGGACATCTGTTCTCGACGCCTCGGCAGACTTTAAGGTTCGGACCTGTCCATCCTTTGGCTACGCGTAGACAGCGACGACCATCCGCGCGTCTACGGGTGCCTATATAGGTCCCATAGCGGTAATGCCGAAACAGACCGCCTTATCGACCACGTCCAAATGGCTGCAGATACGTTGCTACAGCAGATCCCCTCCGCAGAGATCGTGATCCTCGGCGACTTCAACGCCCATCACGCCGAATGGCTCGGTTCACGTTTAACCGATCATGCGGGGAGATCTGTTCGTGATTTTGCCTTGGCATATGGTCTGACACAACTGGTTACTTCGCCTACGCGGATTCCAGATGTGGAGGATCATGCACCTTCCCTGTTGGACCTTCTGCTGACCTCTCACCCGGACGGATATCAGATTTCCGTCGACGCCCCTTTAGGCTCCTCGGATCATTGTCTTGTCCGGAGTGTGGTGCCACTCACGCTGAAATCGCGGTTGCATTCTGCAGGCTGCCGCCGTGTTTGGCACTATAGGTCAGCTGATTGGGATGGGATGCGGTCTTTCTTTGCATCCTACCCTTGGGGGCGGGTTTGCTTCTCGCCGGATGATCCCAACGTTGTTGCGGATTCTGTCGCTGATGTGGTACTTCAGGGTATGGAACTTTTTATTCCTTCCTCTGTGGTGCCCATTGGAGGCAAATCTCAGCCATGGTTTGGTCGCTCCTGTAAAATAGCATCATGCTATAAGCAGGAGTGCTACCAAGCCTGGGCTGACGCATCAGCGTCCAGGGATGTAAACACCAGCGCTCTAAAAAAGAAGTATAATTCCGCCTCTAGGTCCTTCAAAAGAGTCATTGCCAAGGCAAAGTCAGAGCACATAGGCAGAATTGGCGAGAGACTAGTTCGTCTTCCTTCTGGAACCCGTGCATTCTGGTCTCTCGCCAAGGCTGTCCAGGGGAATTTCTGTCAGCCATCTCTTCCATCTCTGCACAGGGAGGACGACTCACTGGCCCACACCGCAAAGGAGAAAGCCGATCTTCTAGGCTCTTTCTTTGCGTCTAACTCGACTCTCGATGACGGGGGGGAGTACGCCGCCGACCATCCCGCGGTGTGAGTGCTCCATGCCGGAAGTGCACTTCACTCAACGCTCGGTTCGCAAAGCACTCCTCTCCCTGGACATCCATAAGTCGAGTGGGCCTGATGGAATCCCCCCAATTGTGCTGAGGACGTGTGCTCCAGAGTTGGCACCGGTTTTAACGCGTCTTTTCCGGTACTCCTACTCCCTAGGCGTAGTCCCAAAATCATGGAAGACGGCTTTCGTCCACCCGATCCCTAAAAAAGGCGACCGCTCAGAACCGTCCAACTACCGGCCTATCGCCATCACCTCCTTGTTCTCCAAAACAATGGAGTCCATTGTAAACTGCCAGCTCATGAGGTACCTTGAGGATCACCAGCTGATTAGTGACCGCCAATACGGTTTTCGCCGTCGTAGGTCAGCTGGTGATCTTCTGGTCTACCTAACTCACAGATGGGCGGAGGCAGTAGAGTCCAAGGGGGGAGGCATTGGCCGTTAGTTTGGACATTGCGAAGGCCTTCGATCGGGTTTGGCACAAAGCGCTTCTTTCGAAGCTCCCTTCCTATGGGCTTCCCGAGAAATTGTGCGATTGGATCACCAGTTTTCTTGCAGATCGGAGCATCAAGGTCGTTGTAGACGGTGCAAGCTCCGATTGCAAGCTTATTAATGCTGGTGTTCCACAGGGCTGCGTGCTATCGCCAACGCTGTTTCTTCTGCATATCAATGATATGTTGCAAACCCGTAGCATTCATTGCTATGCAGATGACAGCACTGGTGATGCTCTTTACACCGGCCGAGCAAATATTTCTCGGGAAAACGTCTCTGAGTGCCGGGACAAACTTGTGTCTGAAGTCGAGTCTCTGCTGGACAGAGTCTCGGATTGGGGGCGACTAAATCTAGTCCAGTTTAACCCCCAGAAGACACAAGTTTGCGCGTTAACCGCTAAAACGAACCCCTTTGTCGTATCCCCTCAGTTTCAAGGCACTCCCCTTGTTGCCTCAGCCAGTATCGGAATCCTCGGCGTCGACATATCGAGTGACGTGCAGTTTCGTGGTCACTTGGAAGGGAAGGCCAAATTGGCCTCTAAAAAGCTTGGCGTGCTCAGCAGAGCGGGACAGTATTTCATGCCGGCACACCGCCTGCAACTTTACAAGGCGCAGGTTCGGCCGCTCATGGAATACTGTTCCCATCTCTAGGCTGGGGCTCCCCAGTACCAGCTCCTTCCACTTGACCGCATCCAGCGCAGAGCGGCTCGAATCGTCGACGACCAAGTGCTTTCCGATCGGCTCGATTCACTGGCGCTGCGAAGAGATGTTGCATCTCTTTGCGTATTTTATCGCATCTATCACGGGGAGTGCTCTGAGGAATTGTTCGGATTAATCCCAGCCGCCAAATTTCGTGAACGCACTACACGGCAAACGTCCCGATACCATCCACACCATCTGGATGCTTGGCGGTCCACCACTGTACGTTTCAAAAGGAGTTTTCTTCCGCGTACAACCTCTCTGTGGAATAATTTACCACCGGTGATTTTTCCGGACCGATACGACCTGGGGACCTTCAAGAAAAGAGCTTACTCCTTTCTAAAGGGCCGGCAACGCACCT